ATATATATATATATATATCGTCTCACTGAGTGTCAGCGTGTGAATGTCACTCTGCAGGTAACTACTGGTGACTTGAATCTGATTTTTGTGCAGCCTGGTGAGATCACTGAGCAATGACGAGGCGCGCCCATTTCAGCTGCTCAAACAGCCGAACTGCTGCTGCTCTGGATCGTTTCCTGCTGCATGCTGGGAGACCTGCTGAAGCGGCGCTGCAGAGATAAGCACAGCCTCACTCTGCTTCAGTGAGCTACAAGTGTTGTTGCTAAACTGAGGTATCGAAACCAGACGTGTTCATAATGGCTCTTTTTGATGCTGCAGCCATGTTACATATTACACAAGTGTTATTGCTACTCTTGTTTTAACAAGGAAACAGCAAAAATAAGTGTTTTAATCATCAACCCTGTGATAGAAGTTGAGTAGTCTCAGATTGTAAGTTATAAAAACACACAAAATAAAACGAAATGAAACGCTGAAACAAACTCACAGCACTCGTCGTTGACGACACACTTCTCGGTCTCCTCGGTGTTGAGCTGGCAGAGCGAGCCGTCCTCGGGGTACTGTTTGACGTATCGCTCTCTGGACCTCATTCCCATCCCGCAGGAAACACTGCAGGCGGACCAGCTGATCCACTCTGACATCATGCATGTTGAAGTCTCTGTCCACCAGGACAAGAAAGAGATACCATTAGCAGGACATCTTAGAATATGTTTTATTTTATTGTTACTGTGGGTCTTTGCCAGGGGCGGAGCCAGTGGGGTGACCAGGGCGGCACCAGATCGGCCACCCCTGGTGCCACCCATGAAATGATTTACAAGTGGGGTGGGGTTTTCATGTGGCATTTTAAATATGGGCATTTAATGAGAATGAGAAATGAGAATTTCTTTTTACTAGCTAGGTTAGCTTTCAGAATGTCATGGGGAGTGCTCTTGGCTATAACCAAACCAAAATTCAGCTCAGTTTTTCTAAAAATGGCGGAGTTGTAGCCGTTTGAAATGAGTTTTGGCAGCCATCTTGGATTTTATAACTTTCAGCAGTGTGTTTAAAAAAATGGCAAAATTATAGCTCTTTGTGAAATTAGCATTAGCGTTAGCAGTTATCTTAGTTAACATTAACACTCAGCATGTTTTGATCATTATTAGCTATGATCCCACGTAAAATTTTAGCTCAATATTTCTTAAAACAGCCGTTTGAAGTTAGCTGTGGAGGCCTTCTTGAATTTTTCAAACCCAGAGTAGTTTTATTATTTTGTACTGTAGGTGCTCCTCTACAAAACACCTTAACAACCCTTGCACCACCCCAAGCAAAAATGTCTAGCTCCGCCCATGACCTTTGCATGTTTTAGGTGTGAAACAGCACAAAAATGAGAAACTATCTGGATCTAAGTAGCCGTGTTTTCATTGCAAATGTGCGCAAAACTTTGTCGATATTTTGTTAATATCGAAAAAACACAGTTTCGCAATTGCTGTGTTTCCATTGAGTAAGAAATGCTATTAAAGTCACGCATGAATTCGTTTGTTCTCGCGATGTCATAACAAACATGGCGGCGATGGATGTAAACACATAGCATTTTGCTACCATGGCACTAGCGCTCATCATCAGAGGAGACGTCGGCGTCTTATCCAGGCTTTCGAGCGACAAGCCCCTTATCCTTGGGAGAGGCTACGTATGCTGTGTTTTTGGGAAATTTTAGTCAGTGATTTTTTTTTACAACTTTAGGGATTTTACTACTACTTTTACTTCCTGTTGTCTTCTTCTTCATCATCTTTTTCGCCACTAGAAACATCCGGTTGTTGATCATGTCACTCCCGTGATGTGAAAAAGTGTTTCCATTGCAGTTTTGCGAAAAACACCGATTTTGATACGACCGAAAAACCACCTTATCCATTTTGTTGAAAAATGCAAGTTTTTTCGAAATTGACATGTTTTCATTAAGCAAATTTATATTTGAAATTCTAATTTGCGCATTTTCATGGTCAATGGAAACTCAGCTGTGTTAGGGCCAGCTATAAAAACTGTATGTGAATGTGTTGGCAGTAATTTTGAAAAACACTGCACAAGGAGTAACACCTGAAATCTTGCCTAGGCCCCTAAATTGTCTAGGGCCGGCCCTGCTATTTGTTCCCAGAAGAGGAAAACAGTTTCAGGCATGTTAATTCCATTTTCTTTTCTTTAAAAAAAAAAAAAACACGGGGAAACAACAGAACATGAACTATTTCTGCTCAAAAACAGACACTCTGCTGTTGCCACCCAGGATCAAACCAGGGATCTTTAGATCTTCAGTCTAACGTTCTCCCAGCTGAGATTTTCCAGCCTTCAAAGGTCACATTAGTGTTCCTGGTGACAGATAATGCAGACGGCGCCGTTCACACCCCTGTCCTCTGGTTAAAGGTCGTTGTCCCTCCACTCTAAACCCGACTTCTCTTCTTGGACGCTTACAGTTCAGCTTCACTCAGCTCAAAGTTCAAAGAGTTATTTTCAAACAGCTTTCCCCTCAGAAAACGCTTCCAACTCCCTTTTTAACAAGGAGAGTAGCCTGAGGGACGGTCCTACTCACAGCAGGGCCCCGAGGGAGCCCAAGTCAATACATATGACCTCAGAGTGGATCAGGTGAAAAGTGAACTGCAGCTGCTCTTAACAAGGCTCCACTTCGCCTTATTTTATCACCATTAGCCAGCACGCCGTTCAAGACGTCCTTGTTATTCCTTTACAGGGAGACGTTCAAAACTAACTGCCTTTTACCAGCGCTTGCTTCACTGGAGAGCAGAGGCACATATCGTATCAAAAAGGGAGAACAAGGAGTCTGTCAGGAAAACAACAATTATTCCAGAGCAGACCTTGTATATTGGAAATTCTCCTCCGTAATGATCAATGAACTCTGACAAACAGAAATGGATCTTTCTTTGACAAACAGCGCTCGACTGCCGACCGTAAACTTCCAACAAACTGAGAACGATGTTGCTCACCAGCTGCAGCCTAATAAAGCAGAACTAAGTGAATCATTAATAAAAGAAGCAGGTATCTGCAGCTCCGAGGGGGCTCCAGAGAGCCAAAGTGTTTCCCAGGAATATTAATCACCCTCAGCATGGCTGCTCCCCATCCTGCCCCGGTGTGAACCCCACAATTATCAATCTCCCACCGCACGCTAACGGAGCGCTAAATGAAAACAAAAGAGAGGTGCTCTGGGATAAAAAGCTATCTGTGTTGCTGTCTGCTAATCGATAAGAGGAGTAGTGGAGGGTGGCCATGTGTGAGTGTGTGTGTGTCTGTGTGAGTGTGTGTCTGCTGGAAGACATCCTGGGAGTGAAGAAAGAGCAGAGATGAGGGAGGAAGATGATGCCTCTTAGCATTTTCTTCCAAACTGACATCTTCTCTGAAAATTGAACAAAAGCAAACTTGCGGCGTTTTTTGTGTTTGTGTGTTTGTTTGTGTCAGGGCTGACTGACTGCGCGCAGTAAAAGAGCATCTGAGTCCAAAACTAAAAAAGAACTTTTCTCACTTTGACGGAGCAGAAGTGAAGCATTGAAGCTAATTTGCAGAAACAAAAAGTCCTGAGTTGAAATATTTCCAGTGATCTGTGAATCTCAGTTAATAAATAAGTTGTGCCTCAGGCTCCTCGCTTTGTAAATCCTAATTATGCTTCTGAAAACATTACACAATTTGTTCCTATAAGCTTTGACATGACAATGAAAGAGTGGCGTGTTGATATAATTTAGTCAAAGAGAACACAATCAAATCCTGATTAAAGCAGAAGACAGCTCCGTTAATCCATGTAATCTTGTGGAGTAATTAGAGAACAAAGTTTTCTCTGTGTAATTTAGGATTTGGTGCATTTGATGCAACATAATCATCAGTTTCCGACGTGTGTGTCTCTCTGTGTTTCGTTGAATCACGTTAAGCTTTCAGAGTTTGATCTAAAGCTGCAGATTCTTCCTGTTTTATCTTCCTCTACAAACACTGGAATCCTTCAATCCAGTCACTTCACATGTTGTTGGTTTCAGCTGAATTTAGGCTCTCAGAGTGGCTGAGTTGTGTTTTGTTGTCCTGATGAGACGAATGCCTGAACTTTCTGAACATCTGCTCCAGTTTGTTGAGCGAAGCGTCATGTGACCACCTGCTGCGTCAGATCTCATGACGGATCCTCTGGTGCCTTTACTGTCGATTATATCCTTCATTTATTTATAAAAACAGTCATTCAGAAGCCTCCTGTCTCTTGTGTTTAGATGTGTAAAATCTAGACATTGTGTATTTTTTCCTGTGAAGCAGAGAACTGATCTTTGTGCATTTTTTAAGCAACGTGGTTCATTCTGCAATCCAACTTCATGTTCAATCTGGTTTAATCAACAGATTATTTTGCAGCAATTTAAAGAGTAACTTACCCCAAAATTAACTTTTTTAGCTGATAAACTGTCTAGAATGTGTCTAAAATGTTATATAGTTCTGTTTCTGTGCTAATTTTGATGTTTTTGTGCGTATTTATTCAAAT